TTACAGTTCAAACCAGCAAGTGACCAATGCCTCCCATGGCAGAGGAAGGCAAAAAAAAATCTAGCATCTGACAATCTGACCTAGGGAAAATTCCTTTCAAGCACCAATCTGGTGATGTTAGAATCTGAGCATGTGGACAATACCCTCAAATCTGAGAACTGGGATAAAATTCACTGTAGTAATTCAGAACCCTCCTCCACAGTGACCCATCTATTGCTGTCACAATACAGGCAGTCCCTGGGTTACGAACAAGATAGGGACTATAGGTTTGTTCTTAAGTTAAATTTGTACGTAACTCGGATCTGGCTCCAGATTCAGCCGCTGCTGCTGAAACTGACCAGGGGCTGACTACAGGAAGCCCAAGGCAGAGTTGCTCTGCCCCCAGCTTCCTGTAATCAGCCACTGATCAGTTTCAACAGCGGCTGAAGGGGCACTGCCCGGTAGGTTCCCACAGGACCAACCCGGCAGCACCCCAGCTACTCTACACCCCAGGCGTCCACAACAAAAGCCTGGTCCGCTGGGGGGCGGGGGTCCCCAACAGACCAGGGAGACCCGGAGCAAAGCCGCAGAGACCAGGGAGACCCTCTGCGGCTTTGCTCGGGGTGTCCCTGGTCCGCTGGGGAACCCCCCCAGCAGACCAGGGACACCCGGAGCAGCTTTTCTTGCCCCGGAGGACGCAGTGGCGGGACCACTGCGCGTCTGGGTGGTCCCGCCGCCCACGAGTTCCGGGGCGAGAAAAGCCCCGTTCGTAAATGCGGATCCGACATAAGTCAGATCCACGTAACTCGGGGACTGCCTGTAGTATTTTTGTCCTTTTAATTACACTGGTCTACAATTTTTTAGGAGTCGTCTGCTTCAGAGATAAAATCTTCTATTTATTATGTATTTTGATGTGCTGAATTCAAATATGACAATTAAAACAACTGATTGGCTACTGTTTCCAAGATATTTAAGTTTTTACATTTTACATCTATGTATATTGTGTAGATAGTAGAGTTTTAATCAAATTAAAAACCTAGGTCTTTTCACGTGTTTATGGTTGCTTTACATGATAATATTTCACCTGTCCTATTTATGTAACACTTTAAAAATCAGCAAAAGGGTTATATAAATAAAATTTATTATGAAACAAAAGGCAAAAAACTATTATGTACATAGTTTAGTCCTATTCAGTGTCTACTCGGCGCTTCTTGGCTTGTCTCTTGTATTCATTAAATGGAGCATCTCTTGTCACTGTCCAGCAATAGTCTGCAAGCATTGATGGGCTCCATTTGCCCTGATTGCAACAATGGAGAAACGCTATGTCCTGGTGAAATCGCTCGCCGTGCTCGTCACTCACTGTTCCGCAGTTCGGTGGGAAAAAAAATCTAGATGAGAGTGCAAAAAATGTATCTTTAGTGACATGTTGCAACCAAGGCTTTTGTATGCCTTGAGGAGGTTTTCCACCAACAACCTGTAGTTGTCTGCCTTGTTGTTTCCGAGAAAATGTATTGCCACTAACTAGAAGGCTTTCCATGCCGTCTTTTCCTTGCCACGAATCTGAGGACCAACAAAGACACCTTCCTTTATCTTAGCTTCACTTAACCTTGGAAATTTTCCACGGAGGTACTTGAAAGCTTCTTGTGTTTTGTCCATGGCCTTGACAAAGTTCTTCATCAGACCCAGCTTGATGTGTAAGGGTGGTAACAAAATCTTCCTTGATTCAACAAGTGGTGGATGCTGAACACTTTTCCGGACCCAGCATGATGTGTAAGGGTGATAACAAAATCTTCCTTGATTCAACATGTGGTGGATGCTGAACACTTTTCCTCCCAGGCTCCAATGACTGTCGGAGTGACCAGTCTATTTTGATGTAGGGGGAATCTCTTGCTCGACTATCCCATTCGCAGAGAAAACAGCATTACTTTGTGTATCCAGTCTGCAGACCAAGCAAGAGAGCAACAACCTTCAAATCGCCAGAAAGTTGCCACTGATGTTGGTCATAGTTTATGCACCTCAAAAGTTGTTTCATGTTGTCATAGGTTTCCTTCATGGCAAAACATTGCCATTATGCAGTAAAACATCCATGACTTCTAGGAATAACATGATGCAATTCGTATCATGTATGACGCAATACCAGCTTCAGATTGCATCATTCATTATTTTGCCTAAAACGCAAGTACTGTCCAAACCCAGTCATAGATTTATTCATAGATCCAGTCAAAGATGTATTTTAGTCATTTCTGGTTTAAACTGAGATCCCTTCCCTTTATAACTCACTTATCCTCCACCATTCGCAAGTCAAGGGTAGTATAAACTGACCCGATAGCATATCTTGAAAACCAGAGCCAATCAACAATTTTAAGCATCATTTTCGTTCTCAGTGACCCAGAATTAGTAACGTTTGACTACATTTATTTCAGAAGCATTCTGGCTGTAGACCAGTGATCTGATTGCTTTTATATGCTGCTAAACGTTTTCCTAGTGAATCTGCTCAACCAAAAGGATTTCCATTAAATATCTTCTCTTTAAGTCCTTTACTATATTGAAAGATTATTCCCATTGTTTTCTGTCTTTCACTTTGTGGCCATAATTCTGTATAGGATTTAGATTAAATTGTTATACAAAATAACATTTTCTGCTTTGCAGTTTGTAGCACTGAAGCACCTAGTTGGGCTATCTTTAGTGCACTCTCCATACTTATTACTGCCTCCTCTTTAAATCTACATCCTGTAAATAAGGCCTATGTGAAAGCTGTGTCTGACTACAATCATTTGAATTAAAAGGTAATGTGCTAGTTTAAATACTTTTAACAAATATGTTGTCATTTTCATAAAAGCTCCATTATGTAGTGTGCACATCTGGTTTGGTTAACTGAATATGTACAGAACAGTGATAGATATCAGTTGCACTGTACCCTTTTGTGAAGGTTACATAAATCATGTTTTATTGTTTAGAATAATTCTTGCTTTAAAGTTATGGAGACTGAAACAATTTATTTCTATTGCACATCTCTAGACTCTAAAAGCATTAAAATATGGCTTTGCTATCAGATTTCCACTGACGACTACAAAGATCTCATCTGTAATAGGATATCATTTTACTTACAATGTGTAATTGCCTGGCTACAAATACCCTGTTTAGCACAGTCTAATATCTTGCATACAGCTTAACATGTTTCTCTTGTGCCAGAATAAAATCCTGGCAACCACCTGTAGTTTGAGTAGAATCAGTAGTATTTATTTTCAGTACTCTTTTTTTCGATTTTACCACTTGTTTACAAAGGAAGTCATTGGTATATAAGAATCTCACTTTAAACAGTTATATTTTGCTTCCAAGAGTCAGTTCAGTTTACACTAGGCCAGATACATTTTAGCACAATTAAACAAATATACACAAGAATGCTGAGTTACAGACTAATATTAGCTGCATGTTGTACAATCTCCAACATTAATATGGTACTTACAGTAAATATATGATTCAGCTTGCATGCCGTTTGTCAAGGTGAGCCATTGGTGGGCCGCAAAGTGTTTTCTTTACCCTGAGCATCCGCAGACATACCCACAGTTTGCTGGTCCAGCCAATGGGAACTGTCGTAAGCGGTCACATAACCCTAACTCTAACCCATAGCTCCTAACCCATAGCTCCTATTGGTTGGGAACAGTGAACCACAGCCACTGGACACTGCAGGGCTACATGCCTCTGGACACTCATGTAAACAAATTGTTTTGCAGCCCACCAGTGTTTTAAGGGATTAGCCACATGTGGCCAGCATGTCAGAGGTTCCCCACTCCTGTTCTAATTAGACGTTCTCTCACAGTGAAGTATATTCATACTGCAGTTTGTCCTCCCCTGATTTTTAATACGTTATTTTAGTTATTTCATTTTTAGAAGATCACTCTGGTTGAGGTGGTATGGAAAGCCACCTGAAAAGAATTTATGTATGAAGTGAAACATCCTGAGTCTCATTCAAGTCAATAGCAAACACCTCCCACTCTTTATCATTAGTAGTACTTAATTATTTATGGCCCTAATCAAAGATCAGGGCTGCATCATATGAGGCACTATACAAGTATGTACCAAGAACCCAGTTTCTGCCCAGCACAGTATTAATTGTATTTAGAGAAAGACACAGAACTGGCATGCTCAACTCCAACCTGGATGCTCCATTTCTCCTTCCCAGCCTTCAGGATGATAGCCAGAACCCATTCTGCTACATTGACTAATTTATGCTGACTAGCATAGCTAGTAGTACAAATTCTATGTTCCATATATGTATGCAATAAGCACCAACATTAAGCACAAATATTTTAAATGGTTATGTAGGCTAAAACTAGCCCACACTGTAATCCCGTAACTCCTTTCATGTATGATTTTAGATGTATACAGATAAATTTGTCAATCAAAATCCATTTATTCTATGTGTTAGTACAAGCTAGGAGAGGCACCTTCATGGACCACAACCTCAAAGGTTAGGAATCTAAATAAGGAAGGAACAAAAGTTAGGGAGCTTGGACAAACTGATGGGTTCTATTTTAGTGACATGTGAAGAGATATACAACTTATTATGTATAAATAAATACCAGCTGTAATGTATAACTTGAGGAGCATACCTTCTGTATAAGGTGCATGTAACATCACTGCATGAGACAGCTTCCCAGACACTGATATAGTATATAACCTTGCTCCTGTACTGCTTAGAGCAGTAAAACATGTTCATATGGTTCATTATGAAGTAAAGTATAGAGGCTAAGCAACTAATTACACAACTTATCAAGACTGAGAAATTCATACCCAACCTCCTCAAAATCCTATTATTTTGGCTAAAAATCACCTTTGGAAACCTGCTCTTCTAGGGACATCTACTCTGATTTTACCAAAATTACCCAGAGATTTCTAGTTCCCTTTAGTTACACAGCCCACTTGCAAAGATAAACCTAAGCATATTCATGCAGTGCTATCCAGTTCCTCATCAACATAAATGTTAAAAGCAGATTGCATTTATAGAAATGAAGGCAGGCAAGTATAACAACATATTTTATTAGAACAAGACTTGATTATTGAAACATAACTGCATCAGACAACTTTTAGTTGATAGTTTTCAAAAGGAAACCCTTGCTTTATGAAGATAAGAGAAAACAGAACAAAGAGGAGGAGGAACATCTTGGTAAGGAAATAAATTCTAAACTTTCCTTTTGGTCCTTAAAATGCCCTAGTTTTTAAATAGTGTAGAGTTTTGCTCAAAACACACCGCAAAGGAAAGTGCAATTAAAGAAACCAGCTACAGTTGTTTTACTCTGTCTTGGGCTGCAGTTTATATTTTTTTGGTTGAAAGAAATACTCTTCAATAGCACTGACCAGCTCATCTAATTCATTCTTCAGTTGGTCCAGGTCACTAAGAAACAAAAAAGAAAACCAAACAAATCATTGCAGAATAGCAAAAATTACTAGAAGGAAAAAAAAAAGATTCTGAGGGCTTGTCAAGACAGTGCGTGGCAAAGATGGGTTGTAAATTGCAGTATGCTAGCATGCTATGCACTAGCAAACTCCAGCTACGTGGACCCTGCTATTTCATGACAAAAAATAGTAATTATTAGTCTAACACTCAGTGTGATGTTTTAACCAAACATTTTAAATTAATACTAGTAGCAATTGTGTGCTTTCTTTCTTAAAAATACATGTGGGGACTATGTCAGTGTTTAGTTTTAATCTTTGTGTATCAAGGAGCTGAATTTACATGTTTGTCCATGTTTTTCAAAATGTAATTGGATATGAGACAAAATCTGATTTCAGCTATAAATCTTCCCATTACATCCATAATTCATGGTTAGCGATATGGACTTTATATAAAATTTTCTTTTATTTGTGATTAAGCTAATGGTATTTATAGTTTAACAAGTTTGATAGATATAAATAAATAAAAATAAGCTAGCTAGCTATACCCACACATACATACTTTGTAACCTAGCTGTTGATGCTCATCTTAGATTGTAAAAATCAAGAATTGTTTTTCATATATTGTTTTACAGCGTCCATCACAATGGGATTGAGGCCGTTAGGAAAATACTACCATAATATTCAATAATAAATATTTATACTAGGAATTTAAGTGACTACTCAAGTAGTCGACTACCCCATAAGCTTAGGCCTATTGGGTGTTCGAGTCAATACTCTCGAATACTCACTTTGTCCACCCTACTTGTTGCCAATGATACAGAGGCAGCAAGGGGGAAGGAAGCAGGAGCTGTTGCTGGGTGAGTGGACAGGGGAGGCAGAGCTGCAGTGGTCCCCGAGATGGCACAAGCTGACCCCGCTGTAGCAGCTAATCCTGCTGTGGCTGTGCAGTTTAAATGTAGAAGGAGCCAGGCTACCCGCCTACTCGATTAGCTATTTAACCACTACTTAACCTCCCTAATATAAACATGAATTGAGCAATTCACAGACAGTGTTTTCTGGTTTCTATTTGAGTTAGTCATTAGTGTCCAAAATCTTCAATATCATTAATAGCTGAGCAGTAAAAAGTTATGAATAGATACAGAAAAAGAAATGCAAACTTTTCCACAATACACTATAAATGTACTTTAGCTACAACATAGCATACAGATATGGCAGTCTCCATTCACATTCAATTCTTGGTTTCTGATGAAACTTTCAAAGCTGTGTCTTTGTTTTGTGGACACCAGCTATTCTTTTCATAGAAAGGATGGTTCAAGACACTACCAAACTGGGCTAGATCTGAACTGAGTAACCTAAAAGTACATATGGCTAATTGTCAAAGCTACAAGGCACATTTTCTTGCCTCCTTTTCAAAAACAGGGAAAAAGGAATTATAGAAGGAGGGTACTTTAAAATTTGAAGTTGCTTGCCTTTAAGAGGGTAAGTTATATTAATTACAGTGTTGCACTTAGGATATTACTTGTGATGATTTCTAAAAAGCCTAAAGCATACAGACGTGCCAGTTTTTAGTATTTGTATGTCTATATAAATATACTGTAGGTTGAAAGATGAAAGATAAGAGCCTCTGATGAGGAAGAATCCAGAAGACTCATCACATGTTTGAGAATATATTTTGAAAAAAAAAAAAAAAAAAAAAAACTCTCAATACTTTTTATATATGAAAGTGGACCAAACTGATCCCGCTCTCAGACAAATGGGCTACATATCAAGGTGTTATTTACTTATGATCAAATCAATGTCCGAGGCTTCTGAATCAAAGGAGTAAGTATAGGTTTTTTCAATAATATTATCAGGGCTTTAATTACTAACTGAACCAAAAAAAAAAAAAAAAAAAAAAAATGTTCAAAGGAAGTGCCCATTTCAAGTTGCCTTAGAATATTTTAAAATGCAAATTTAAAATGGCATCAAGTACAGAGTCCCTTTCTGCTCTTACTGAAGTCAGGATACAGTTCGATGAAATTTTGGCAACAGCAAGAATAGCCATTGCAGGAGGCCCCCGCTTTACAATGGCCCAATTTACAACCCCCCACACTAATGACCTTTTCCGTAAGTGCGGAAGGAGCCGAAATCCCCCAATTTACAACCTTGGCCCCACATTTACGATGGCACACGACACCTGTCATGAATGCGGGCTCGAGTTACGATGCCCCTGACTTGCGACGCTATCCCAATAACTGATCGCGTCACAAGTCG